ATTTAACCCCCCGTGCAAATTACATGCGCATTAGCACCGGAAATACAGTGTATCCGGTCGCGTATACATGCGATACAGTATATATATATATATATAAAGAGAGAGAGAGAAACAGTGGTGGAGGAGGCACAAGCTATTTGTCTTTCCAAAAGCACGTTTGCTATGTCGGGTTTACGCGGAATATTGGCTCAACGATTAGCATCGACGTATTCGTAATTACACACAAATATATATATATAGAAAACAAAACAATTCTACATGAATAAATGACACTGTATAAAACATCATTTTACAGTCGATTATAGAGAATGAGAGAGAGAGAGAGAGAAAGAGAAAAATTTCCCCTCTATTTTGCCATTATCCATTTTATTAAACACGGAGATTAGCTTCTCATTGTCTTTATGTCATTCATTTGCTCGTTTTCATGATGCGAAATATAGCCTTTGATTACTGGAACGGGGGTTGAAAAATTAGATTTCAAAACCCTGAGAGTGAGAGTGAGAGAGAGAGGGCTTTTAATTAATGAAAGTAATTCGCGGAAAACCAGGTGTGGAATCTCTCTTCGTGAAATTATCATTTTTTTTTCTCTTCAGTAAGTAAACTTGCCTCTAATTAATTCATTATGACGAGTTTTTATTCGTAATTTTTTCTTTCCTCTTTTTTTCCCCAAAAAAATTGAAATAATACTCTTTAAATTTTGATTTTACGATTTACTATTATTAAATTACTATTAGTAGAAAAAATACTATTAGTTAAAAATTACTATTACTAAAAAATACTATTAGTAATACTATTAGGAAATACTATTAGTAAATACTATTAAAAATACTATTAGTAAATACTATTAGTAATACTATTAGTATACAATACCATTTGTAATACTATTAATAAATACTATTAGTATACAATACCATTAGTAATACTATTGGTAATACTATTAGTAAATACTATTAAAAATACTATTAGTAAATACTATTAGTAAATACTATTAGTATACAATACCATTAGCAACACTATTAGTAATACTATTAGGAAATACTAATAGTAAATACTATTAAAAATACTATTAGTAAATACTATTAGTATACAATACCATTTGTAATACCATTAATAAATACTATTAGTATACAATACCATTAGTAATACTATTAGTAAATACTATAAGTAAAAAAATACTATTAGTAAAAAATTACTATTACTATAAAATACTATTAGTAATACAATTTTTTAATACTACTAGTAAAAAATACAAAACTACAATGTATACAAAAAATACTATTAGTATAAAATTACAATTAATGAATACTATTAATAATACTATTAGTAATACTATTAGTAATACTATTAGTAATACTATTAGTAATACTATTAGTAAATACTATTAGTAAAAAATTCCTATTACTAAAAAAATACTGTCAGTAAAAAATTAATATAAGTAAAAAATAACTGAGAAAATAAAAAAAGTAAATGTAAAAAAAACTTTGCTAATTTAAAAGAAAAAATAATTAAGCTAATTACCAAAACAATTGGTAGAGTAAAAATTAAATATTAATATACACAATATATAGGTATATATCTGTAGATTAAATAATAGTATAATGCAATATATATATATATACATTGTTTCCCCCTGCGAGTGTGCATTTAATAATTAAACGCACAATGTGTATATTTTATCCCAGAATAGAAACATACGGAATCCTTGTAACGGTATCGTGCACGCATATAATAATTTCAAATTGCTTTCCCTCTTTCTCTCTTTCTCTCTCTCTCTCTCTCTATGTATAAACGCGAATCATCGAGCTATGCTAATTTCTAAAAGCCAATCGAGTCCTGTTTGATCTACGTCCAACGACTTTCAGTAAGCCCCTCATTTTCCAACTGGTTTAAATTTCGAGCGTCGATTTTCCCTTGCACATAACTCTGATTTTCATTAACGATAAAACACACCGCGACCCCTTCCCCCACCCCCCCCCCCTCCAAAATTATGATCATAGTTTCCCTAACGGGTTTATCAAGCGGATACACACACATACACACACTCGCTCTTAAATTCCAATTTCAATTTACATCGTCTCAGAAGAAATTATCCTTTTCTCATCGTGTTTATATTTAGCTAATTAATCTATTTGAAAATAATATTTAACAAAACAAATAAATATTTATTTGATAATAGTCAAGTAACATTACTTTAAAAATACTATTAGTAAAAATTACTATTATTAAAAAAATACTATTAGTAATACTACTAGTAAATACTATTAGTAAAAAAATACTATTAGTTTAAAATTACTATTAGTAAAAAATTACTATTACCAAAAAAATACTATTACTAAAAAATGCTATTAGTAATACTATTAGGAAATACTATTAGTAAAAATTATTATTACTAAAAAATACTATTAGTAATACTATTAGTAATACTATTGGTAGTACTATTAGTAATACTATTGGTAATACTAGTAGTAATACTATTGGTAGTACTATTAGTAATACTATTGGTAATACTAGTAGTAATACTATTGGTAGTACTATTAGTAATACTATTGGTAATACTAGTAGTAATACTATTAGTAAATACTATTGGTATTACTATTGGTAATAGTATTGGTAATACTATTAGTAATACTATTAGTGAATACTATTAGTATAAAATTACTATTACTAAAAAATACTATAAGTAATACTACTAGTAAATACTATTAGGAAATACTATTAGTAAAAATTATTATTACTAAAAAATACTATTAGTAAAAAATTACTATTACTAAAAAATACTATTAGTAATACTATTGGTAATACTATTAGTATACAATACCATTAGTAATACTATTAGTAAATACTATTAGTAAAAAATGCTATTAGTAAAAAATAACTATTAGTAAAAAAATACTATTACTAAAGAAATTATTTAAATCAAATAAATATTTGTTTGCAATGTAAATATATATTTTATTACTATATAATTATTATTTATCTGATTATTAATTATTTAAATAAAAAAAAAAATTTTCTTAAATAAATATAATATCTTTCATGTTATTTAAGGGACTTTTTTCTTTTTTAAAATGAAAATAAAATAATTTTACAATTTATAAATGATTAGATGCTCGCGCTTTTGCACCTGAGTGATGAGAAAAAAGCAAAAGGGGCACAAAACCGTGGTGGCGTACCTTCAAATCCGTATTCACTGGATTTACAAGTTATTCAAATATTCCGCGCGCTCGGTAAGCTATGATGAATATACTCAGTGTTGAAATTTAATCCCTTTCCAAGCCCACCCCTTCGTCGACCCTCGACTCTTTGCACGCAAAATCTCGTCAAAATTTCTCTCACTGAAAACTACAAGACTAAAAACAACAAATCGTATCTATGTATATATATATATATACCCACGCACATTTTTAATACCCTTTTTTTTAAGCGGTCAATTTTTATATCTATCAATTTCTTTAAAGTGTCATTGAAAAAAAATTTTTGCAAAAAAAAATTAATAATATAAACAAATAATAATTAAATTAATAAATAATACGGTAATAATTAAAATAATTAGTAATTACATTAATTAAAGTAATTAATACTTATAGTAATTATAATAATTCATAATTATAATAATTAGAATAATTAATAATTATAGCAATTAAAGTAATTAATAATTATAGCAATTAAAATAATTAATAATTAAATTAGTTAATGTTGAAATTAATTATTAATTTTTTTTGTGAATATTTTATTTCGAAAATTAAATTTTTGTCGGTAATAGAGATACTTGTTCTGGATGCATATAAAAAATAAATGAAAATATTTTGAATATTATATAAATTATGTAAATAATATTTGAAATCAATGATTGATTTAGACGATGAACTCTCGTAGCGAGGGAAGATATTATATAGAGGGGTAAATGAGGGATGTTCGCCTTTGTCGTCGATCACCGAGGGTCGGATAATTGATAAACTCCAATTGTCAATTCATTGATTCGATTGTTTCAGTCAACTATATTGCACAACATTGGTTAACCAATTGCATACCTAATTGAATATAATACAATATGCAATTATATTCAATATATATATATACATATATATATAGTAATAGAAATTTTTTTTAAAAGAAAAAATTGTTTTCTCTAACTCAACGCAATATTAATTGAGATTATTTATAAATTTTGTAATTTTTTCAGTAGTACAAGTAAATATTTAGTCAGACTTTCTAAATTTTATTAATTGTTTCAGTAGTGCAAGTCAATGTAAAGTCAGACCCAACAAAATTTTTGTTATTTTATCAATAGTAGAAGGGAGTAATTAATCAGACATTTTAAATTTTACCTAGTAATGGTATAAGTAGTACAAGTCAATATTTAGTCAGGCCTTTATTAAAATTAAAATTTTGGCAGTAGTACAAGTCAATGTTCTGTCAGCATTTTCAAACTTTATAATTTTTCAGTAGTGCAAGTAAATATTTAATCAACATTTCTAAATTTTATTAACTATCTCAGTAGTGAAAGTCAATGTAAAATCAGACTTCCTAAAATTTTGTTATTTTTTATAAGTAGAAAAAGTCAATGTTTAGTCAGACTGAAATTACATTTGTAATTTTATCAGTAGTGCAAGTCAATATTTAATCAGAAATTTATTAAAATAAAATTTTTCAGTAGTACAAGTCAATGTAAAGTCAGACTTTTCAAAAATTGTAATTTTGCCAGTAGTACAAGTAAACTTTAAGTCAGACATTCCAAAAGTTTGTTATTTTCATTAGTAGTTCAAGTCAAAATTTAATTACGTTTATAATTTTGTCAGTAGTACAAGTAAATATTTAGTCAGACTTTCTAAATTTCATTAATTATATCAGTACTTCAAGTTTATTATTATTATTATTGTTGTTGTTGTAAATATTAAAAAAAATTCTTTTATATTAAAAATCAAGAATTACAATAATAAAAGAGATAAATAATTGAAAAATTGAAAAAAAGGATTTATTTCTTTTTTTTTGCCACTGACCTGATTTTTGCCTTTGAGGACAAGAACGTTGGTGACTCGACCAAATGGAACGCCCAAGTGGATAATTTCCGTTTCAGACACTTCATTAGGGATGTTTCTGATGTGAATCACTCTCGATGGCTTCCCATTATGAGTTTTATCCAATTTAGCCTGCGCAAAGAAAAAAAACAGAAAATTCATTTCACATTACACAATACAAATTTTTTTTTTTAATTCGTTAATGAATTAATAATTATTTTTTTTGTTATAAACTTTAGCTAATATTTAACTGACTTAGCAAATAGTTAGGAATCTCGATTAATATTTAGGTACCTTAATTAATATTGAGTGGATTAGCTAATTTTTATCTATCTTTACTAATATTTAGGGAACCTTAACTAATATTTAATAAATATTTAGCCAATATTTAGCTGGATTTCTTAATATTTACCTTTACTACTATTTAGATAAAGTTAAAGTACCTAAACTAATATTTATCCAATATTTAGCTGGATTTTTTAATATTTAGTTACCTTAACGAATATTTAGCCAATATTTAGTTACCATAAATAATATTTAACTAATATTTAAGTACCTTAACAAATATTTAGCCAATATTTCAATGTATTTTTAATATTTAGGTACCTTAACTAATATTTAACTAATATTTGGGCACCTATACTAATATTTAGCTAATATTTAGGTATCTTAAGTAATATTTAGGAACCTTAACTAATATTTGGGCACCTATACTAATATTTAGCTAATATTTAGGTATCTTAAGTAATATTTAGGAACCTTAACTAATATTTGGGCACCTATACTAATATTTAGCTAATATTTAGGTATCTTAAGTAATATTTAGGAACCTTAACTAATATTTAACTAATATTTGGGCACCTATACTAATATTTAGCTAATATTTAGGTATATTAAGTAATATTTAGGTACTTTAACTAATATTTACACAATATTTAGTAGGATCTTTTAATATTTAGGAACCCTAACTAATTTTTATCTAATATTTAGGAGTTTTAACTAATATTTTATTAATATTAGGTACCTTAACTAATATTTGTGTGCTTTAACAATTATTTAGCCACTGTTTAGCCAGATTTTTTTAATATTTAGGTACTGTAACTAGTAATTTAGTAATATTTAGCCAATAGTTAGCTGGATTTTTTAATATTTCGGTGCCTTAACTTATATTGAGCTAATATTTATTTGTATTTTTTAATATTTAGGTACCATAACTAATATTTACACAATATTTAGTAGGATTTTTTAATATTTAGGAACCCTAACTAATTTTTAACTAATATTTAGGTGTTTTAACTAATATTTTATTAATATACCTTAACTAATATTTGTGTGCTTTAACTATTATTTAGCCACTGTTTAGCCAAATTTTTTATATATTTAGGCACTTCAACTAGTAATTTAGTAATATTTAGCCAATAGTTAGCTAGATTTTTTAATATTTAGGTACCTTAACTAATATTTGGTTAATATTAAGGTACCTTAGGTAATATTAAGTTGATATTGGTGTATCTTAGCTAATATTTAACTGAAGTAACTAATATTTAGTAACTTTAATTAATATTTAGCTGGATTGGCAAATATTTAGCTGGATTAGCTAAATATTTAGCTACTTTAGCTTAATCCAATTACTAATATATAGATAGCAAAATATGAAAGTTACTGATAACTAATACAGCCAATAATTTGCTTTCACAGCTAACATATTTGCAGTAACAGTTAATTATCACCCACCCTAACTAAAAATTATACACATTACATATTTTTCTCCGCGTATATAATAAATTTATCATTTTTATCCATCAATAATATAAATATAATTTTTTATAAATTGTATGCAATATAAAACAATTGTATATTTCACAGAAAATAAACATTTTTCAACGCCATTGTGAAAATAAAAAAATATATACATATATATGTAAAATATTATTCCAAGATAAAAATCGAGAGCGGAAAATACATTATTTGCATGCAGTGACAGTTTAGAGATACATTTTTCGATGAGAAGCTTCAAAGCTGGATAACATAATAAAAAGGAATGGATGGTTACGAGGTTCCAATAGAAGTGAGAGAGAGAGAGTGAGAGGGGGAGAGGGAAGGATGGATGGATAATACCATCCCTTATCTCTGCGAGTAAGAAGCACGTTTTCCGATCAGTTAAACCCGACTAAACCTCAACAACGTTTTTAAGAGTCTCGTCGAGCGAATGGAAGGATAAACGCGGGGCAAGAGAGTAATACCCATGAAAAGGAAAAGATGGAGGAGAAAAAAAGTGGGCAAGGAGTTTGGATGGAAAGTGGAGGGGGGGTTGAATTTTAACGGAAATGTGGTACGAAGGAGGAAAGAAGGAAAAAAAAAAGAAAAAAGAAGAAGAAGAAGAGCCCGACAGGGGTTGATTTGGAGTGAAGTCGACTAGATTGAGCTTTGATTGAAAACTCTGCCTTCGGCAACAAGGGCTTCGATTTAAATATACTCGCGCGCAAGGATTTTTATTTTCCCCCAACATCTCTCTCTCTCTCTCTTCTTTTCGTGTATTTATATCTCGTGCAGTTATAAACTGATTTAAAAGAAGGAAAAAAAAAAGGTTAAATTGGTCTCTAATTCTCTTATACACAGTCTTTAAGTCCTTTATGCCATTTTTTTTTCTCTCTCGACCTGGACTCGTTATCTCATTTTTTTTTTCAATATCCAATCCAGTTTTTTCCTCTCTCTCTCTCTCTCTCTCTCTCTCTCTCTTTGCCTTCCAAACTCTTCTTTTCAGACAAGATTTAATTTGCCTGATCCATTTTCGAGTATTGTACGCAATGCTCCTTTTTTTATAAAGCCTTTTTAATTAAAATCATCCGATATGAATAAGGTGCAATTCCACCATTTTTCACAGTAGTTACTATTATCGCGCATTGTCAGTTCAATATAACGACGAGAAATCATTTTTTCTCATCGGCAATTTTTTTTTTCTTTTTTTTTATCCTGATATTTCAAAAAAGAGATATTTTTTGGATTTATTCTTTTAGATGTAACTTAGTTTATTATTACCAAAAAACTGGCTAATTTAATTTAATTTAAACTGGTTCTTAACTAATATTTAGCCAATATTTAGTTTCCTTAACTAATATTTAGCCAATATTTAGCTACCTTAACTAATATTTAGCCAATATTTAGCTAGATTTTTAATATTTAGGTACCTTAACTAATATTTAACAAATATTTAGATAGATTTTTAAATATTTAGGTCCTTAACTAATATTTAGCCAATATTTAGCATGATTTTTAATATTTAGTTACTTTAACTAATATTTAGCCAATATTTAGATAGATTTTTAAATATTTAGGTCCTTAACTAATATTTAACCAATATTTAGTTGCCCGAACTAATATTTAGCCAATATTCAGTTACCATAAATAATATTTAACTAATATTTAGGCACCTATACTAATATTTAGCTAATATTTAGGTAACTTAAATAATATTTAGGTACCTTAACTAATATTTACCCAAATATTTAGTAGAATTTTTTAATATTTAGGAACCCTAACTAAATTTTAACTATTATTTAGGTGTTTTAACTAAAATTTTGTAATATTTAGGTACCTTAACTAATATTTGTGTGCTTTAACTATTATTTAGCCACTGTTTAGCCAGATTTTTTAAATATTTAAGTACTGTAACTAGTAATTTAGTAATATTTAGCCAATAGTTAGCTGGATTTTTTAATATTTGGATGCCTTAACTTATATTGAGCTAATATTTTGTTAATATTTATTTGGATTTTTTAATATTTAGGTACCTTAACTAATATTTAGTTACCTTAACTGATATTGAGCCAATATTTAGAAACCTTAGTTAATATTTAGGTACTTTAACTAATATTTAGCTAATATTTTGTTTCCTTAACTAATATTTAGCCAAAATTTAGCTATATTTTTAATATTTAGTTACCTTAACTAACATTTAGCCAATATTTAGATCGATTTTTAAATATTTAGGTCCTTATCTAATATTTAGCCAATATTTAGTTACCATAAATAATATTTAACTAATATTTAAGTACCTTAACTAATATTTAGCCAATATTTAGATGAATTTTTAATATTTAGGAACCTTAACTAATATTGAGCCAATATTTAGGTAATTTAACTAATATTTAGCCAATGTTTATCTACATTTTTTAATATTTAGGTACCTTAACTAATATTTACCAAATAATTTGTAGAATTTTTTAATATTTAGGAACCCTAACTAATTTTTAACTATTATTTAGGTGTTTTAACTAATATTTTATTAATATTTAGGTACCTTAACTAATATTTGTGTGCTTTAACTATTATTTAGCCACTGTTTAGCCAGATTTTTTAAATATTTAAGTACTGTAACTAGTAATTTAGTAATATTTAGCCAATAGTTAGCTGGATTTTTTAATATTTGGATGCCTTAACTTATATTGAGCTAATATTTTGTTAATATTTATTTGGATTTTTGAATATTTAGGTACCTTAACTAATATTTAGTTACCTTAACTGATATTGAGCCAATATTTAGAAACCTTAGTTAATATTTAGGTACTTTAACTAATATTTAGCTAATATTTTGTTTCCTTAACTAATATTTAGCCAAAATTTAGCTATATTTTTAATATTTAGTTACCTTAACTAACATTTAGCCAATATTTAGATCGATTTTTAAATATTTAGGTCCTTATCTAATATTTAGCCAATATTTAGTTACCATAAATAATATTTAACTAATATTTAAGTACCTTAACTAATATTTAGCCAATATTTAGATGAATTTTTAATATTTAGGAACCTTAACTAATATTGAGCCAATATTTAGGTAATTTAACTAATATTTAGCCAATGTTTATCTACATTTTTTAATATTTAGGTACCTTAACTAATATTTACCAAATAATTTGTAGAATTTTTTAATATTTAGGAACCCTAACTAATTTTTAACTATTATTTAGGTGTTTTAACTAATATTTTATTAATATTTAGGTACCTTAACTAATATTTGTGTGCTTTAACTATTATTTAGCCACTGTTTAGCCAGATTTTTTTAATATTTAGGTACTGTAACTAGTAATTTAGTAATATTTAGCCAATAGTTAGCTGGATTTTTTAATATT